TCTGATGTGCTCACTTTTGTCAGCCAGTAATTTCGCATCATTCACGCGCACCACCACGCGCCAAGCACGCCATGACTGAACCGCGCCGCAGACTTGCGACCACAGCGCAAAACATCAGCGAAAACGACTTCAAACCACCACAACGCACAAAGTCCCGGCCCACTGGTCGACGAAACGCGAGCGACAGGGCAGCGGTTGCTGGAGCCGGGGCGGGAGGGGGGCGGGAGGGGGCGGAGAGGGGGGGGGAGGGGGCGGGAGGGGCGGGAGGGGGCGGGGGGGGCGGGAGGGGGGCGGGAGGGGGCGGGAGGGGGGCGGGAGGGGGGCGGGAGGGGGGCGGGAGGGGGGCGGGAGGGGGCGGGAGGGGGGCGGAGGGGGCGGGAGGGGGGCGGGAGGGGGGCGGGAGGGAGGGCGGGATGGGGGCGGGAGGGGGGCGGGAGGGGGCGGGGGTTCAGTGGGGGGGCGGAAAGGAAATCGCGAGGTCGCAACGCGTTTTTTTTTGTTTGTTTGTTGTTTTTGTTTTTTTTTTGACGGCCCCGAGGCCCGAATCCTCGAACGAACATTCAGAAAATGCACAGGCAAGCAAAAAACCGCACGCACAGGCTGGCTTCGGGGGGAAGGAGAACACGCGCAAACACAATACCACACGCAGACGAACTAGTTGTCTCCGCCTCCCCGAGAACGCCCCACCTGGCCGATGGGGGCCGACGGTGGCACGGTAGCTTGGCGAGGTCAGCGGCAGGCGAAGGGCTGGCCAGTCGGGTTGTACTCATATGTCCTTGCCTGAGACCTCTGTGCCCTTGAGCGTTCATAGCTTCTTGCATCTGACCCCTGTGCCCTTTAGCGCTCGCCGTATCTGGTATGTGACCCCTGTGCTCCCAGGGAGTTGGTTAGATGCTGCAGTGGGTGGGGGGGCTTTGCGATATGTGTTACCCTTCCCACAATTGCCTTAGATGGACTTGGACCTGCCCAGAGACTTGGGCCTCCGAGTCGTCGTCGCCCGTCCAGTGCTCCGACGGGCTCCGATGCATTTTGCCTCGAGGGCTCTTCCAGGGCTGCGGTGTTCCCCAGCGGCGTGCCCGGGCCCCCTTCGCGATCGGCCTCCTCAAGGGATGGCTGGGCAGGCCCAGTATTGCTATGATGACCCTTTGTGGGCGCGGCAATCAATCTGCCCTGACCACGGCCGCCCTCGAGGCCAGCAGCTGGTGACGCTGCTCTGCGCAGGAGGGGCCGTGCAGGGGCTGTGGGTCGGATTCGGGGGGCAGCCGCTGGAGGCAGTCCAGGGCCTGGGAGGTTGTCGCTCCCTCTCGCTAGTGCTTCCCCTTCTCAGCCCCTCGCTCGGCTGTCGTCTCCCTGTCGCTCACTCTCTGCCGCTCCCTCCACGCGCGATCGGGGAGGCATCGGAGCCGCCGAACGCGCTGCCCGCGAAGCTGGCTGGGACTGGAAGGCTTGCAACGTCTACGACATCGAGGAAGGGGAGGGGGGGTCCATGTGCAATGGGCGTGGTGATCGGGCTGCGAGTGGCGAGGGCAGTGATGACAACGTCGCCCAAACAGAGGGGGAGGAATAGTAGGAGGTGGATGGGGGGGGAGATATGGGGGAGCCAGGGGGAGGTGGGCAAGCAGGGACTTTCGGGATACGAGGGCTCAAGAATGAGAAGACCAGTAGGACATCTGATCGACTGCAGAGGAGACGAGGGAGGGGAACGGCGGAGAGGGGGCGGGAGGACAAGCTGGAGCCGGCCGCAAAGCTCTTGCACGATTCCCTGGGCACCCGCCACGACTGCTTCCACTACGGTGCGGTGTGCCGCGCCCTGCCCCGCCCGACTGCCAGCATGTCGTCGTCTTCGTCGTCGTCGTCGTTGTCCTCGTGGCAGTTGTCGTCGTCGTGGCCGCCGTCGTCGTCGTCGTCGTCGTCGTCGTCGTCGTCGTCGTCGTCGTCGTCGCTCGTCGTCGTCGTGGTCGTCGTCGTGGTTGTGGTCGTGGTCGTGGTCGTCGTCGGTATCGTCGTCGAATCGGTCCTTCTCGTCGCCGCCGCGATCATCGTCACTACCGTCTCCAATGATCATCAGCACCGTCATCATCGCCACCGTCATCACAAGTAGCACCATCACCATTACTATCATGACCACCCCTCCTGCCCACTGAGTCCAGGCCTTGGAGGATTTCCTTGGGAAGCTGGCATCCTTGCGGGCAGTCCGAGACTCCCGAGGAGGAGGAGGTCGCACCCTTGCACCTTTGCAGCTCTTCCCCGTTCGGCCATGCCTCCTCGGCAGCACGAGGGCCAGTCCCTCATTCCCTCCATCCAAGCGTCGGTCGGCATTCCAGTGGCGACCCCTCCATCCTTCCCTCCGTCTCGGGCGCTCCCTGAGCTATCACTCGCAGTGGTCCCTCCCTCCTCCCCTCCATCCAAGTCCCTCCTCCAACATCACCGTCCGCATCCGTGCCTCTTGCACATCCATTCTCCATCCCCGTATATTCACCACCCCGCACATCTCCATCCCACCCCTCACCATTTCAATGTCGAACCAATCTGCATACAACATTGTGGAATGTGTAGTATGTAGAACAATGCATGTTCATGTATACGATTTCGTCATGAACATATCATCATGGTACCAACTGGCCGTCACAATTAGGGCTCAAGCGATTCCCGAGATCATTGCCAGAGATCACACCTAGCTCAGCCCGAGATCATCGCTCAGCCCGAGATCATTGCCAGAGATGACCCCCAGGACGCCGTCCCAGCCCGCCCTGAAATGCTTCACGGAGCTCAAAAAGTGGCACACGCATACTACTGACCAAGGGTGGGTGGGTCACCTCATCGGCCTCAATTGGCAGGCGAACGAAGTGATTGAGACGTGGCGCTGGAAGCCGCCAACGGACGACAAGGGCGACAAGGGCGGCACGGTCATCAAGGGCGGCACGGCCATCAAGGGCGGCACGGTCCGCAAGGGCGACACGGTCCGCAATGGCGGCACGGTCGACAAGGGCGACGCGGTCAGCAAGGGCGACACGGTCGGCAAGGGCGACAAGGGCGGCGCGGTCCGCAAGGGCGACAAGGGCGGCACGGTCCACAAGGGCGACAAGGTCATCAAGGGCGGCACGGCCCGCAAGGGCGACACGGTCAGCAAGGGCGGCACGGCCAGCAAGGGCGGCACGGTCCGCACGGGCGACAAGGGCGGCACGGTCCGCAAGGGCGACACGGGCGGCACGGTCCGCAAGGGCGACAAGCGCGGCACGGTCCGCAAGGGCGACAAGCGCCGCACGGTTCTCAAGCGCAAGCATCGCTGAGCAGAGATTGGGCACGTCGTAGACAAATTTCAGATGCAAATATGATTAGTGAGGGGAAATGATGAATGATGATGAGGGGGTGGAAACGGGAACGTGTGATGTGACGTGCGTCTGAGCAGATATGGTCTAAGCTTTTGGGGCGATCCATGCAAGGATTGCACCCCGCACCCCGATCGGCCGTGGTCCTGTGGTCCCAGATGCAGTTGATCCTGGATGCAGTGGTCCCTCCCTCCCTCCTCTCCCCGCCAGATGGAGTGTGCCCCGAGGGGCGAGGGCAGGGGGGTGGGGAGACTTGGGAGGAGAGCGAGGACGAGGAGGAGGAGGAGGTTTTACCGAGCCATTTGGGCTCGAGGTGATTGGTTAGAGACAGCAGGTGTCTTGCTCCTGAGTGAGCTTGGGGCCCTTCAGTTGAGTTGCCCAGCGAGCATCTTCCTGATGGCCCCCAACAAGCCCAAGACTGCTGCGGGCACCCCGCCAGGTATGCAGAGCATCGCCTCCGCCTTCGGCAAGCAGACTGCGCCGCCGACGGAGCAGGCCACGCCTCCGCCCGCGGCGACAGCCGCTGGCACGCCGTCAGCGCCCGCGGCCGCGGAGGTGCCCCAGCAGGCAGCGCCCGCATCGAAGGCCCCTGAGGTGGCATCCGCAACAGGTGGTGTCGGGAGTGCTGTAACTGGAGCCGAGGTGGCGAAAGATGGTGCTGCCAATCTTGATGAGAAGCACCCTCATAAGGCTGAGAAGGAGGATGAGGGCGAGGAGGAGGCTGAGGATGAGACTGGCCCTGATGCAGACGTGGAGTTCTTGGGCGGCGATGGCATCGGAGAGGGCGGGGGCGCGCGCGCCCCTATCACGGGCGGTGTCGACGCCCTCGCTTCTCTCGGTCTCGGTCCTGCTGAGACCGATGTGCCGTCTTGGAGCCCTGGCCCGGCGCCTGGGGCGCCTGGGTTGCCTGGGCTGAAGTGCGCCCCCGTCGTGAAGGGCGGCCATGAGCTCGTTTTGCCCGACCCGGCGGCCGAAGAGACATGGGGCGGCATGGGCTGCGACGATTTCGACTGCAAGAAGTGCGGCCTGACCTTGCCGAGCCATGAGAAGAACGAAGACGAGAGGGTTTCGAAAGACACTTGCGAGAAGTGCGTTAGGAACTATAAGAACCTGACGAAGCGATGGAAAAAGAATAAGCAGCTTAAGAAATGGTTCAGCGACAAGACCGAAGCGGAGAAGATGGAATGGTACGCCAACCACCGCAACCAAGCCATCCCGGACCAGCGGGTGTGGCGCAAACGCCAAGGGGCCAAGGGGGGCCCACACCACTTGGTCGAACGCTCCCTGAGGACAGGGGTACAGGAGGAGGAGGGTGGGGATGCGAAATGGCAGAGTGGGAGGTCCAGTGGGAGGAGGGAATACGAGAAGTGGGAGGGGGATAAGGTGGGCACCTTCCCCTCTGACCCCACCCCCTGCACAGCCCGGGCCAGCCTCGTGGCCGCGCAGATCGGGGGGGCCTCCTGGTCGCAGTTGCAAGTCACCTGGGGGGGCCCAGCGTTGGGGGGAGGTAAGTCCCAGCCCTGCTTGTCCTCCCCCTCTTCTCCCCTTTCTTGCTCCCGCCCTGTCCCTGTTCCTCCCCTCTCCTGCTCTGCCTACTCCGCCCCCTTCCGACTCCACCTCCACCAATGATTTTTGTTTGTAATGCCCTCATTCTTTTCGACTGCGCCCGAGGATAGCAAGGAGCTGGTCAGGATCGCGCTGACTTCCACGAAGGAAGAGGGCGAGGAGGCCAGGTCCAGGACCCACTGGAAGCCGTGGCCCCTCGTTGCCCGCGACCTCGCCTTGGAGGGCTTCGTGGGTCGCCCAGCTCAGGTGGCTGAGTTCCGCCGTCGCTGCATGTCCAAGCAGTTCGCGGTCATGCCTGATCCCAAGAACCGCGGCCAGTGGTTAATCGGCGAGTACCAGGGCATCGTAGCTGACCAGATCACAGCGTCCAGGACATGTGCGACAGCCACTCAGGAAGCGGACTCGACGAACCAGTCGAATCTCGACGCGTTCATGGCACAGATGGCGCAGAGCATGAATGCGACCAGGTCGGGCGCCCAGTTGGCTATCGCCGCCCTGCCGCAGGACGACTCTGCCAATGGTATCGCGCCGCCCGACGCCTTCATGGAGGCCATTCACGACTCCCCGAGCGCTGCGCCCATGACCGCGGAGTCTGTCGGCAACTTCGGCGCCCAGTTCAACAGCTCCTTGCAGTCCCAGCAGGAGCGGAAGGAGGCCCAGAGGCGCTACGAGGCGATGATCCTTGCCGAGGACGTCGAGGCCAGGGCCCACTCGCAGGGCAGTTCGGGCGACAAGGTCACGAACATCGTGCAGGCGCGCTTCGGGGCGGAGAAGGCGATCGAGTCGCAGCTGTCCAAGATGAAGGCTGCGCTGGAGTGCCAGGTGGGCAGCAATGAAACGGCCCCATGAAGGGCTGCGCTGGAGTGCCAGGGAGGGGGTGGGAGGAGTAGGAGGAGGAGGACTCCCACCCTCCTCCTCCGCCTCCTCCTCCGCCTCCTCCTCCGCCTCCTCCTCCTCTTCATCTTCCCCCCCCCCTCCTCCGCCTCCTCCTCCTCCTCCGCCCCCTCGCGCCCCGCACTCTGAACTCACCGCACTCGCTGCAAAGCGACCTTCTCCCGGACTCCTCCCCAGGGGCCCTCCTCGCTGTCCTCTTGTCCTCTGTGTCCCTCGCTTGCTCCCTCGCCTCGCTTTTCCCTTCTCTTGCACCTCGTCATTCCATAACTCCATTCCTCCCTTGCACCCTTGCCTCCATCACCCCTCTCATCGCCCCCCTCTTCCTCTCCCCTTTCTCATTTTCCAAACTTCTTCCTGTTCTCTATCCCCTCTCCCCTTTCCCTCTACTGCCTCCATATGTTATTTCCACTCGCCTCGTCTCCGTTTGCATTCAAATGCACGCATCCCCCGAGGCTTCCGAGGCCCTCTCGGTCAAGGAGTTCATCGAGTGCAGGGTTTCCAAGGAAGACTTGGAGAGCGAGACCTGGTCTGCGGTCTACCCGAAGCTCGTCCTGGTGAGGACTAAGTGCGACGAAGAGGTGGCGCGGATCTCTGGCCGGCATGCTGAGCTGCAGGCTAGCGTCAGGAGCGTTTCTTGGGATGGTGACGTCAAGGCCCTTCGCGGCAGCTTGAAGGTTCTCTTCGACTCGCAGAAGGAGGTCCACAGCCACACCGTCGCAACCAAGAGGGTGATCCAGGACGCGAAGGCGCACTTCTCTAGAAAGGCGGCCGACGCATCCGCTGCGGGCAAGAAGCGCAAGGCAGAGAGCGAGGCGCCGCAGATGGAGGTGGACCTTTCGAGCAACCTCGGCCCCGCGATGCAGGTCCTCGCGGCTGAGGCGCGGGGCTCTCCAGTCGGCGTTCTTCGCGACCTCTCCGAGCTGGCCTTCGGCAAGGCGGTCGTGGTCAGCACCCCCTCGCTGTGCAAGGACGTGGCGGTGGCATCGGGCTGGAAGGCCTGTGAGGCGTGGATGCGCACCAAGATTGAGAGCTGGGGCTCGGCGGGCGCTTCGCCTGCTTACGGCAACGTGGTCCAGCCGGCGGTGTTGGCTCAGATCCGCCAGCTCAGCAAGCTCGAGAAGAAGGATGTGGGGTACCTGTTCCGCTCCGCCTTCATCGCCTCGGGGCCCAAGGAGCAGGCGCTCCGCAAGACGCTCTATGGGGCCCAGTGCTTCATCCTGCCGCGCTTGCACTCTGCGGTGGCGCCCCTCCCGTATGGCTTGGCCGAGGCCCGCATGATCTTGGAGGGGGGGGGGGGTGATCCTGGGAGTCAAGATCGACACCGAGAATCGCGGGCTCTCCAACCAGGTGGAGTACCTGAAAGGCTTGTCTGGCCATGACATGCTGACCCTGGGAAGGCAGGACGGTAACTTTTGCTTCGTCCTCTCGAGTGGCGACGTCGCCGTGTTGCCGACTGGGTACGTGTACGCGCAGTTTCGGACATCCTTGACCAAGGGGATCAGGTGGGGCACGTCGCCCCCCTGGCCTGAGGAGCTCGTCGTCGTGGAGAAGACCGTCTCCGCCGCGATGGAGGCCTACCAGGGCATCCGTGGGACCCTCTACGAGGAGTGGTGGAAGTGGTTGTCGCTCAACGCGCAGAGCGGCATGGCGGCGTAGGCGCTCCAAGGGCTGCGCTTGCATGCCGCGCTTGCAGGTCCTTGCTCCAAGCACTCTCGACTCTCACCCTCTTCCCCTCCAGAGCTGCCACTGCTGATGATGCTGCCGCTGCTGATGCCCTCCTTATTCCTGCTGCGGCCCTTCCACCCTCCACCTCTCACTCCTGCTTGGTCATCCTCAACTTGCTCATCTTCCTGCCACGTCGCCTCTCCCTCCATGCCTTCAAGACCCCCAGCCATCCTCATCACGATATCCCAATATCCTTTATCATTGCCTTCGCGTCCTCCTCGTATCTCCAGCGAGTGTACTCTGTGTCGTGCACCTCTTATGTCTCCTCCACGTCCCTAAATCTGCTTCCCTGCTCCACCGCTGGCTCTGACTTTCCTGGCCTCTAGCGCCCTGGGAGGCAGCGCAATGCGTTGCCCCAGCGCTCTGCCTGTCGCCGTGGGGAGATCGGCGATGGGCCTTTCGATTTACTGCTCAGTGGCGGGGGGGGGTACAGGGAAGGATACATGACAACTCGGGGCAATGAGCTACAGCGTGAGCAGCTCTGTTTTCACGTCTCCCAAGGGACCCTGCATAATACTTTGCCAAGGTGTGCATGCGGCGCGGCGCCAGCACGCCTCCAGCCAAGGGATTTGCGGGCCCCCTCGATGGACGATGCCCCCGAGGGGCGCTCGCTGGGCAACGGTTCGAGGCAGCATACACAGCCACCGCCAACGCACGATGTGATAGGGAAAAAGATACAGCTCAGACGTCCAGACTTCGCCTCGCTCCGTATGAGCTCACCCTCCCAGGCGCGCCGCATGGGTCGGACGACGTCGCGTCGTCGTCGTTTTTCGTCGTCGTCGTCCTCGTCGTTGTCGTCATCGTTGTCGTTATTGTCCGTCGTCGTCGTCGTCGCCGCTGTCGTCTGTCGTCTGTCGTCGTCGTTGTCGTCGTCGTCAGTCGTCCGTCGTCGCGACGTCGCGTCGTCGTCGTTTTTCGTCGTCGTCGTCCTCGTCGTCGTCGTCATTCGTTGTCGTTATCGTCTATCGTCGTCGTCGTCGCCGCTGTCGTCTGTCGTCTGTCGTCGTCGTTGTCGTCGTCGTCAGTCGTCCGTCGTCGTCGTCGGTCGTCGGTCGTCGGTCGTCGTCTGTCGTCGTCTGCCGTCGCCGCAGCCGCAGTCGTCGTCGCCGCAGCCGCAGTCGTTGCTCGGCCATCCCCCCTCCAGCCGCGCGCCCGCAGGCGGCGGGGGACATCTTGCGCCTGCGCGTCAACGCGCTGAACGAGATCGAGGGTGGGGTCTTCCACAAGACCGACGGCTTCGTTTGCGGGTGGCCATGCCCGCCTTGGTCGTTCGTTGGCTCCCGGGGGTGCTTCGACGACGACAGGGCTCTGGTGCGATCGGCTTGATTCGAACTCTTGCTGATGCTGCTGTGCGTCCTGTTCTCAATCCTCGTCTTGCCCACCCCCTCCCTCCGCCCCGCCCCTGGCCCTCTCCATCCTAGCTTATCCCACTGCCCACCCCTCTCCGCTCTCCTCCCCATCCCCTGCCCCCGCGCGTCCTCCACGCCCCAGCCACTTCCTCCTGCTGCGTGTCGTGATCAGCTTACCCTCCCTCGCTTCTGTCATCCAGCTCTCCTCCCATGGGCGCCCTCCTGCCCCTGCCGGCCTTCATCGCCGCGTGCTGCTCCCCACCGTCGGTGTGCTTGAAGATGCTGGAGCTCCTGAAGTGGCAGGGGAGCAAGCAGTTGAAATGGTTCGTGTTAGAGAACGTGAAAGGCATAGCAATGAAGTACAAGAAGCAGCCTGCGAGTCTCTTCGAGACGATCCTCCCTTGGTTTAAGCAGCACATGTCGGATCCGAATGGGGGGAGGGGGGGCGGAATGGTAAGGCGCCATAGAGATGAGGAGCAGGAGGATGGGGCAGCTCGGCATGCCGAGCGAGTTAACGCTGGTGAGGGGATTGGAGTTGGAAGAGGGTGAGGAGGATCAGCGGGTAGCAGCCTGAGCCTGTTGACTGTCGCTGATGTGTACATAACGTTTCAGACGTCGTTGGGCCCCGCGCGAGCTCCGCGCGACGGGCGACGACGACGAACGGCGGACGAAGACGACTGGCTACGACGACGGACGTCGAGGACGACGGACGACGACGACGACCACGACGACGGACGACAACAACTACTTGACGACGACTTCGCGACGACGACGATGACGGACGACGACGGACGCCGTCGTCGCCCATCGGCGCTCGCGTCGTCGTCGTCGTCGTCCGTAGTTGTCGTCGTCGTCGTCGTCGGCGTCCATGGTCGTCGTCGTCGTTGCTGTCCTCGTCGCCGTAGTTATCGTTAGTCGTCGCGGTGGTCGTCGTCGTCGTCCGTAGTGTCAGCGCTGACTTGGCCCCCCTGTGCGAATGGTGCAAGCACTGATTGGGGATAGTGGTAACACGTTCGATAGGGCCAACAGTGCAAGCACGCAGTTGGAATACATCCCCCCGACGTGGCCGATAGAGCAGGCGCTGATCGGTCATGAAAGCGATGACCACGACGACGAGACCCCCCCCCAGGAGTTCTACGTCACGTGGCAGGAGGTCTGCTCGACGGGCGACGGGCTCCCGTCGAAGAGGGCTCGGATCTACATCTCGGGCTTTCGCTCCATCCTGTTCCGCCCGATTCGCCAGCACATTAGCTTCCGCGAGCCTCTCGAGCCCTGCCGCAAGATGGACCCCGTGCCCCTCTCTCAGTTCTTGAACGACGCCGACCGCGTGGATGAGACGCCCGACGCGCCCGGCCTGGCGAGCAACGTGGAGGCCCCCTGCCTCCCCCAACCAACGCCCTTAAATGATTGACAGCGGAGTCGGAAATGTGGTCGAGGAGGAGGGTGAGAAGGAGGAGGAGGAGGACGAGGAGGAGGGGGAGGATGGGGGTGGGCCCGAGAGGAGCAGGATCAAGAGGAGGAATAGGCGGCGGCACAGGAGGAGTAGAGGAGTTGAGCTAGGAGAAGGAGGGACAGGAGGAGGAGGAGGAGCAGGAGCAGGAGGAGGACGAGGAGGAGGAGGGTCAGGAGGGTCAGGGGGAGGACGACGGGGTGGTCCAGCACCCCCATCTGTTCCTCCACCGTTCCCCTCCCCTCCTCCTCCTTCCCTTTCTTCCCCCTCCTCCTGGCCCTTTACTTTTCCCCCCCTTTGGCCACCCATCATCTCCCACATGTTGGATTTTTCTGGTCGTGTTTGGCCCGCTCCCCAGGTGTACAATCAGATGTTCAGCGCCAAGGAGCCCCCGGCTGGCACGATTGGCTCTTGCGATCTGACCAGGAACCCGTCGAAGCGTTTCGGGTCCTACTTGCGCGTGGACGCCCTGCCCTGCGTGACCACGAAGTCGCACTACCTCTGGCTCCTCGGAGCCTCGCCGAACAAGGTGTGGGGCAAGGGCCGCTTCATGACTTTGGCGGAGCGCTGCCAAACGATGGGGTTCGTTCCAGATTCGCTCGTTGGTGTGATCAGGGCTTCGACGATTGTGATTGCGCTCGGAAATACTATGCCTGTTCCCACGATTGGCCGCGTCATGGTTCCGATTCATCGCCTTTTGAAATTGTTCGAGGACGCGACCGAGACCTTCCGCGTGGTTCCTTGGTTCCTGCGGTTGCCCCCGCTCGTGGATCAGCAGGCGCTCGACGATGAGCAGACTGTCGGCAACGTCCAGGTCGCGGACTGGGCCGAGAGGTTGCCCCCCGTCGCCGTGTTCCAGAGCCCCCCCAAGCTGCGGAGGGTGGGCGAGCGCTCGGAGGGCACAGCAGAGGCTCCAGGGCAGCAGAAGTTGACCGCGTTCTTCAAGCGGTTGCCCTCCCAGTGAGGGCTTGGGCTTGCAGTAGGAGGAGGAGGGGGAGGAGGAGGAGGAGGAGGAGGAGGAGAAGGAGGAGGAGGAGCATAAGGTAAGACAGCGCCTCGGAAGAGGTCGGAAGGCGAACGCGCCAAACGCTGGGCATTGAAAGTGTTATGCCCTCGAAATCAAGTTCGCAGCCTCTTTAGCTTTTATGTTGTCTCTCAGGGCTGCCATCCTCTGCCCATGTTGGGGGGCTTCCTGGTCACTGCTAAAACTTCGGGGGGCCGTGAAACCACTCGAGGTCGAGCGAGCACTGGCCATGGTCGGAGCGAGGGCGAGTGCGACGATGAGGGAGGAGGAGGAGGAGGAGGAGGAGGAATATGAGGAGGAGGAGGAGGAGGACGGGGAACAGGAGGAGGAGGAGGAGGACAATCAGGGGGAGGAGGTTGAGGAGGAGGAAAGCCCAAGACGGTCACTCACTTAGCCAGAAGGCGCTACCACTCCTCCTCCTCCTGCTCGCATTCCTCATCCTCCTCCTCCTTCTCCTCCTCCTCCTTATCTTCCTCCCCCTGCTGATCCCCCCTCCTCCTCCCCCTCCTGAGCTCCCCCTCCAACGACTCATCCTGCCTTCGCCCCTCATTGCACGCCTGCGATTGGACGCCAGGGATCGGCAGCGCCCCGCAGTCCGCAGGATCTGCGTGCCAGAAGGGTTGGCACGAGGCTTCGCAAAAATGCCCCGATGCATTCCGCCTCGCGTTCTGGCCATCTTAAGTTTCCTCCCCGCCTCCTCCAACATTGCTTTCCTCGTCCTCGAGCTCCCCTTCGCCCTCTTGGTCACCCTCCCCGCCTCATCGCCATCCTCGCGTTCCTTTTCGTCGCCCTGCTCCTCATCCCTCCTCCGCCCTCTTGCTTATCCTACACTCTGCCTGACTCCGCCCGCCCCTCGTCGCCCATCCCTCCCTCTGTCCTCCCTCGCCCTACTCGCCCTGCGGGTCCTCCATTGCGCCGCCCCGCGGGCCCTCCATCGCCCCGTTGGCCCCGGCGCCCGGCGACGAAGCCGAGTCGGCCCACGGCGAGGGCGGGGGCGGCGGCGACGGAGGGGCAAGGAGGGCGACGACGACAACGGAGGAGCAGGGCCACGAGCGAGAGCGGCAGCATCGGTAGCACGAGCATCGGCGGTGGCAAAATCAAAAAGAAAAGCGAAGACGAGAGAGAGGAGGAGGGGCGGCACAGAAATCATGATGAAAACGAGGGCCGATGGCAAGTGGCGGGAGCGCGGCAGAGGAGGATGCGAAATCAACGGGTGGGAGGGGCGAGGGTGACGCAAGCGAAACCGAGGGCAACGCGAGAGCGGAACGGAAACGAGGGGGAGGGGGCTGGAGGGAGGAGGAAAACGGAGGAGGAGGAAGGAGGGAGGAGTGGGCGGGAGGAGCAAGGACCTTAGTCACGCCTTTCGGCGTTTCCGCCAGCCACGCGGGGCCCCCTGGTCCAATGCCAGCTCTGGCGCCAGCGCGGCGCTAACTCGGCGCGGGGCCGCCGCGACAAGATCATTGTACAGCGCGCCGTAGCGGCATTAACGCAAGCGGCAATTGTGCGACCTGGCGCGCCGCCGCGCGCCCGCGCAACAATGCAATGCCATGCAGCGCGCTGCGCTCATATGTCGAAAACGTTGAAGTTTGTTGGAGAACCCCGCTCCTTGTTGAAAACACGCGCGCGTGTTTCCGCGAAAGCCTCGTGGTCTCATTTGGCGCCCGACGTTCCGAATAACGCGGTTTGTTGGCTTGCGGTATATGCGCGAACGCATCGCGAGGCGCATGATGCGCCGAACATTGGCGCGCGCGCAATTCTGCGTGCAGCAGCGCGCGCGCTGTGCAAAGCGAACCCAAACTTGGTTGACATCTGCGTTGGGCAAGCGCAATGCATCAAAAACCTCTATGCGCTGCGCTTGCGTTTTCCAGGTTTTGTAAAACTGCGCCAGCGCACCGCCATGTTGTTGTTTTTTTTTTTTTTTCGACATCTGATTTCCACCAGTGGGCTCGGTGGGTCTGCTTAACAGCTTCTTACCAGGCCTTGCGCCCTGCCGCGCGACGCAGCATGAGGGGGTGGTGCTTGCGCTCCCGCACGGCCTTCATGCGCTTCGTCTCAACCTTCCTCATCACTCGAGGGCCATGCAGCTCGTGGCCAAGGTTGCGCATGTGTCGGGCGTGGGGCACCGCCCGAGGCAGCCGCCGCTGGGCCCCGTGCGCCACCGGGCGGAGCCTCTGCAGTGAGCACCATCGCAGTGCGCAGCAGCGGCTTGACATCGCCGATGTCGGGGGAGACCATCTGCAGGCCGATGTCGTCCACCAGCGAACGTGGCTTGATTGTCAGCGCAACCCTGCTGGCCCGCTGGGGGACGCGGTACGTCGGCAGGTAGATGAGGTCGGCGGCGCGTGTGCACCCCGCCAGCACCCCCTGAAAGGCGACGGAGGAGCACGAGAGGCTGCCGTGCGCCTTGGCGCGCCGTGGCTGCTGGTAGAGCTGCAGCGACACCCAAGGCAGGCGTATCGGGTAACCCAGCTCCCGTGCCTCCCGTATGAGCGCATGGGGACTCACCATGCCGAAGCATTTCACCATGTCAAGGAGGATGGTACAAGTGTGGTCGCCGATGAGGCTTCCCACCTCTTGCTCGAGATTGTGAGCGAAAGCCGAGGCCGTGGATATGTGGCTGCCTAGGGTACCCCACATTGCGTCGCAATTATGCTGTCGTTGCCACTCTGCCGACAGCCATCGGCGTGCTTTCGCCCAAACTCGTATGAGAGTATGTCTAAGCACAATCAGCCTGTGGCCACCATCCAGCTTAGGGAGACGGACCATCTCGCTATGCAGGCGGTCTGAGGGAAACCGCAAGTGCAGCTCAAAGACCTCGAACATCTGGGCCAACCTACTGAGAGCCTCATCCGATAAGTGCTCGGGCGCCTTGGGTGGAATGCCTGTGGGCCCCGAGGTGGTGACGAGAGAGAAAGATCAGATGGCCTGCCGTAGGTCATGGGCCGTCAGGCTAGGCAGCTCCCCCCACGTAGGTGCATCCCTGGGTGGGGACAGCTCTTCCAGCCCATGGGTCGCCCAGATCCGCTTCCACTCGTCCATGGTGCGGTCCGCCAGGATGTATGGCTGGGCGTCGGCCTCAGGGGCAACGAGTTCCTGCTGCGCCCTGACTTTGGATGCAGCATGGGCAGCCCTCGCTCCCCCATTGAAGGCCGCCTGAGCCCAGCTGCGCCGGGCTCCTTCCGACGCGCCGCGAGCCGCGACAGCGCGGTCCTCCGCGCGGCCCACGATGACATCTACCATGTCAGCAAAGTCCTCCGCACTCAGCCCGTCCAGCCCGCGCAGGAAGAAGTGGCGGTAGCAGGGGCCGATGTTGGTTAGGACGTTATCCTGCCCGACAAAGTTGCCTGGGAGATGGAGACGCATGCGCCGCCGCCGCATTCAACTGGTGACAAAAACGCTGGGCCCGATCACGCTCGCCGCGGGGGTGAGTAGCCCCGTGCCGCAGTAGCCCAAGCCCAGGCTGTGGTGTCGTGGTGCAGCCGCTTGCGAGGTGGCCCCCGTCGCAGCTGCCGCCGCTTCACCTTGGGGGGGGGCCGTGGTGCCCGACGAAGCGGTTGGCTCCGGGGCCAACTTTGTCGCGCCTGCCTGCGATCTCGTAGTCAATGCCCTGCAGAACGGAGTCCCAGAGCTGCTGCAAGACCTCATCAGGTGTGCTTGCCTCGCCGACGGCCTGTCCATGGGCCCAGGTCCGACGGCGGTGGCGTTGGCCCGCGCGTCCCGATCGATCGCGCTAACTTTGCCTAATGGACCAACGTGGTCGAAGGACCTGCATCGGTCCCGATCGGGCTTGGACTGGACATGGTCCGTGCCAGCAACCCTGTGCGGCGCGGTGGCTGCTCGCGCAAACAGGCGATCCAACGTCTGCCAAGGAAAGGGAACACGAGCACAGCCAACAGGGGGTACAGCAGGCAGTGGACGAGGCCCATCGGGGACGCGGCACCACGTCGGCGTGTCCTTCCCATGCAGCTCCAGACCCACAGGGTAATGGGGTGTGAGAGTGCTCCCACATCCATGTGCCACCTCGGGCTGGCGAGAGACACAGGGCGCGAGGTTGCTGGCCGCCGAGAAGTAGTCGATGGTGGACACTCCGTTGGAGGTGGCGCACGTAGAGGCCGACGGCTGGAGGAGAGTGCCTGTTCAGGACCCAACCCTGTCGCCAATGTTGATGCTCTGGCCGTCGGCGTTCCAGCCACCCCCGATGATCCAGTCGAGGCCTCGTGCGTTCCACGCCGCCACGCGCTTAGCAAGCGCCCATGGGATCGAGAGGTTTGCCCCGGTGACGCCGATGCCCTGCGCCATGTGCACGCTGACGGCAATCAGACCACTAGGGGCACCCCGGTGAACATGAGCTGCCACAGCATGATGTGGAACGACGACATGATCCCCACCGGGGGGCATCGTGACCATCGCGTTGGTGGGCGCGAGCACGCAGACTCCACTGGAGCACGACGCCGCGGACACTCCTCCCGTCTCCTCGGCAGGAGCCCAAAGGCCGTGCCAACCTGCATCGCGCGCAGCAGATTGCACGGCCCCAAGTCGCTGGTCGACCACCCGCGTCTCCTGGACCATCACCATCTTGCCGAGGAAGTGCGGCAGGCAATTGAGAAGTGGCCCGTGGGAGCCAGGGTTGACCGTGACCAGCTTGGCCGCTGCCCGACAGCGCGCGTCGCCAGCATCTGGCGTGGCCGTGCTGGGGCTCTGCGCAAAGGGATCGCGACCCTCTGGCATGCTTGCGTCGCTGCCGCCAGCTCGGTATCGAGGTGGTGCTTGCCGCCAGTTGCGGAGCAAGCCCGCGGACTGGTCAGTCACAGACTTTGGACACATTCTGTGGCTGACCAGTCGGGGGGGGGGCTCCAGCAAATCCCACCTCGAACAGGGTGAATAGGCACTATGCCAGCACCGAGGTCCATCCACGCGGGCGCGCCGCACACGGTGAAGACGCGTGGACTGGAGCACAGGTTGACGGCGACGGGCAAGAGCAGTAGTGGCCACTGGCAGGAGACGCACTGTGCTCTCCGCCCAGTGGAGGCGGACCCATGCAGCCAGGACGCGACCTAGGGGCAACATGTACATGGTACGTGCTGTCCTCTGGGCGCCCCTCGTTAACCCTGACGTTCCGTACATGGTACTTCCTGCCAGGAAGGTCCCAGCTGACAGCCTGTGCATGGTACGTGCTGTCAGTGCGCGGGAGGCCACAACTGACATTCCGTGCATGGGACTTCTTGCCAGTTTGATGGCCGCACAGCCCGTCGCAACAGGCTGACGCATAACACTCGCAGCGAGTTGTCTGTGCATGGCACGTGCCATTCGTGTAGCCGCGCTGGCAGGCGCTGCCCTCGAAAAAAGGGGGCGGGTCGAGCCTTCTTCTTCCTCTTGTGCGCCGTGGCCGCATGCGTGAAGGAGTCGGGGACACGCTGTGCGCCGCCCGCATGTCCGCGTCGGTGGCGTCGTCAGGCTGTGTGGGTCCTGCCGCCTCAAACGCCTCCCGCAGCTCGGCGGACTCCATGAGGTCGATGCCGATCTCCATGTCGTCCCTGGCAGCTTCCTCAGTGAGGAGCTGCACCTGGCCCGCGAGGAGAGAAGGCGGTGGACGCAACTCCTCCTCCTTCTTCCCCAGCAGGGGTCGCAGGAGCAGGGGCAGCAGAGGGCGCCTGTGCCGTCGGCGGTTTCGCCTGGGGAAGCTCATGGAGCCCCCCGAAGACTTTGGCCGCCGTCTCCATCTCCGCCTGAAAGCTGGGGTCCAAGCCGGACTCCGCGGCCAACTCGCCAAGCTGCTGGACGTTGACAGCGAACTTCGGCAGCAGCTCATGGAGCGTGGGCTTGCCAGCAGTGGGCGGAGGGGGTCCGTCGGCGCCCAAACGCTGGACCTCCTCCTCCAGCCGCAAGACTTCGGCATCTGCCTCGGCCAAGGAGTCCTGGAGCACCGTCAGCTTGGCAACCAGCTCGTCGATGACCAGCTGCTCCTTAGCGTGCTCCTCGCGAAGGCGCTTGGCCTTGGCGCGGGAGTTCCGCAGCCTCGTGGTGAGGGGCGCTCGGCGTCGAGCTCCTTGCGCAAGTGCTCCTTCTCTTCGGTGAGGGACTTGACCTGCGCAAGGTCCGAGGCCACGGAGGATCCATCATCGACCTTAAGGAGCTCATTGATCTTCTTGATGCGGTCACGCTTGACCTGCTTCTCCGACGGGTCAGCGGTGCCTCCGTTGTCACCAGTGGGAGCCCCATGGGGGTACCCACTGTCCAATCCGACGCCCGCCCCAGCAGCAGAAGCACTCCCCCCAGCAACAGCAGCAGCAGCCCAGGGAGGAGGCGACTTGGCGACCGTGAGCTTCTTGACCATGGCCTGGAGGTCGGCAAGCTGCTTAGCCATGACGGCGGTGTCGGACTTATCCTTAGATGCCTTGGGTGAGCCCGTGGACTTGGTCGCAGGGTTCCATTTGGGCGTTTTGGGACCACCGTAGCAGACTCCTTTGTGCAGGTTGCATTTGGAGCACTGCTTGAGGTCGCCACGGTTGATCCACGGCGTGCCGTCCCTCGTGGCGCAATCCTTGCAGCGCCAGGGGGCAGCAGCGAGGCGGCGCGACATGGCGGCGCCGTGACGGATGTAAGGCCAGGCAGGCCTCAGTAACCGTTTATAGTCCAGGAGTGCTGGGGACGCTGCCCAGGAAACCTTGACACCCAAACTTGGCTCGCAGGAGAGAAAGAGCTCTTCCCAATGTTTCTACCCCTGCAGACCCGACTCGGGCCAGAAAGGGCTGGAGACAGAGGGGGAGGAGGAGGAGGAGGAGGAGGAGGAGGAGGAGGAGGAGGAGGAGGAGGAGGAGGAGGAGGAGGAGGAGGAGGAGAGGGAGGAGGAGGTAGGAGGAGGAGGAGGAGGAGGAGGAGGAGGAGGAGGAGGAGGAGGAGGAGGAGGAGGAGGAGGAGGAGGAGGAGGAGGAGAGAGACAAGAGGAGGGAGGGGGAGTTGAAATTGGGGCGACGAGGGAGGAGGAGGGTGAGGAGGATGGGGGGCAGGTCGGGAAGTGACATGAAGAGCATTGGGCAGGTCGGCCGTCCTCTCTGCGCGAAAAGTAGAGCCCTGGAGCAGAGCGCGGACGAAAGCCATACACAACCGCCCTTCTCGCTCGGTGTGCGCATGCGTGTTGGGAGGCGCCGTTGGGGCAGGAGGGGGAGGAGGGAAGAACAGGATGATAAGGGAAGAGGAGGAGGAGGGAGGAGTAGGAGTAGGAGTAGGAGGAGGAGGAGGAGGAGGAGGAGGAGGAGGAGGAGGAGGAGGAGGAGGAGGGCAATGATAGGTATGGGGAGAAGCAGGGGGAGCAGGGGGAGCAGGTCTGTCGAGCGGCGTCGTCGGGGCAGTTCTCGAATCGGCGACTCTAACGCTGGCGTTCAAGGTTGAACGCCGCCAGATGTCTGGAACCGACATTGAACATTGAGTACCATTGGAAAGCCGTGATCGTTCAATGTTAAACGATCCAGGTGGTGTCGAGACAGAAGCGCAATTCGTCACGATACGGATCTGCGGTATATAGTTACACCGATCCTGGCCAGGCCAGTCCTGGGTGCAGGATTGGTGCGTATAGATGTATGTATGTATGCCTGCCTGCCTGCCTGCCTGCCTGCCTGCAAGCATGCATGCATGCATGCATGCATGCATGTACGCATTCATGCATGTATGCATGCATGTATGTATGTATGCATACGGATATGTAGATATGCATGTCTGCATGCATGCATGTATGCATGTTTCCATGCATGCATGTGTGTGTGTGTGTGTGTGTGTACAGGTCGGTCTATGTATACTCATAGACATGTAAACCTAAAGGTATACCTGTATACGTATATGTGTATTTTCGTATAATGTTTCATGTATGTGCATGTACAGGTATATTCGTAGAGGGTGATGCCTATACAGTCGTATATGCATATGCGCATGTATCTGCATCTCTATATAGACAAGTGTGTATGTACACATGTGGAGGACGTGTACAACAGTCCTGAGCCCAGGGCTGGCCTGTTCAGCATCGGTGGAGGTGTATATTAGGCGTCCTCCAATCGGAACGTCAACCCAAATTTCGGAACGTCAGCCCCCTCTGGAAACATGTCTACGCTGACATTGATGCTGCTGCTGATGGTGTTGGCGATTATGCTGGATGGTGATGACGTGGACGATGCTGATGACGATGACGACAATGACGCTGACGATGACGATGACGGTGATGCTGCTGCTGATGGTGATGATGATGACGACGATGATGAGGCTTTGCGATTAGTGCGGAACATGTGATTGATGGTCGCCATGCGCTCCTGGGGCCACTGTGCCAGGGACGCTTTGACAGCCGGTCGCCGATTGCCGGTGCCCATGGTCGGGCCCCGTGCTTCTTGCGCCGTGCTGTCGATGGTGGCCTGGACCGTGTGCCCGCGTGAGGCAGACGTGAGTCGAAGAAGAAACAGCGGCTTAACCATAAACTTTCGTGGCCCCGCTCGGACTTCTTGGATCGGCGCCGCCCTTGGTGCGCTCCGCGCGCCATGAAGGGGGGGTCCGCGCGGAGAAATCCAAGGAATCCGCCGAAAGTTTATATTCTGCACTTTTTCGTCCTCTGCTGAGGCAGGCGTGATTTACGGGCAGGACAGGATGTGCCTCTTGGGCGCTCTGGAAAGGGCTTCGCCTTCGTGGGATCTATTCGGCGGAAGCTGGCGGACGGCTGGCGGAAGGCCGGCGGAGCTAAACCGGGGGTGGCTCCAGCGGGCTGAAGCCAGCGAAAGCAAAAGTTGCCGCCCCCCGCAGGAGAATGCATTTTTTTGTTCAGGGTTTCCGGAGCGATCCACTGGACCTGCATCTGAGCTCTCCCATCTCAGAGCATCGCCGCCACGCCATGCAGCAGCGAACGATTGCGATACATTTCCGGACGAGCAATCACGCCTGGAGCCCTCGACCCTGTCTTTCTGCGGCACTTATCGAGCCGCTTCCATCCGCGAGGGCCCCCAGGGGCCCGAATTCTGGGCCGAGAGGCCCGGTGTGAACAGGTTTCGGCGCCTGGGTTTGAGGGTCCTGCTCCCTCCTCGTCGTCCTCGATGGATGACTCCCATTTGGCAGCGCCCATGCGTCCCCCATTTGGCAGGGCCCATGCCAGCCCCGACTAGCTGTCAAACGGGGGCCCGTCCGTAGACCTGGCAGCTTGGTCCTAATGCTCCTGCTCCTCCTCCTGCTCGGAGGAGACTCGATCTTCATCCTGCTCCTAATTTGACCTCGACGAACCCTCCTGCTGCTCCTCCTCGTCCTCCTCCTCCTCCTCCTCCCTCTCCTCCTCCTCGTTCTTCTCTTCTTCTCACTTCCCCCCACTCCCTCCCCTTTCCTTCTCAGCCTCCTCCTTCTTCCTCACTCGTCGCCGTCGTCGTCCTCCTCCTCCTCCTCCTCCTCCTCCTCCTTCCCCTCTCCCTCCCTCGAAGAGGGCTGGCGGCGACGGAGGGGAGGCTCCGCGTGCCCAAGGACCCGTTTCCCCCCCCGCTCCTGCGGGCCAGGAGGACAAATAGGAGGAGGAGGAGGAGGAGGAGGAGGAGGAGGAGGAGGAGGAGGAGGAGAAGGAGGAGAAGGAGGAGGAGGAGGAGGGGAATCATGAAACGGTGGACGAGGAGGAGTAGGAGTAGGAGTAGGAGTAGGAGTAGGAGTAGGAGTAGGAGTAGGAGTAGGAGTAGGAGTAGGAGTAGTAGGAGGAGGAGGAGGAGGAGGAGGAGGAGGAGGAGGGCGGTGATGCTGCTGCTGATGATGGTGGTTGTGGTTGTGGTGGTGGTGGTGGTGATGATGATGATGCTGATCATGATGATGATGATGCTGCTGCTGCTGATGATGATGATGATGATGATGATGATGAGGATGAGGATGAGGATGATGATGATGATGATGAGGAGGAGGAGGAGGAGGATGATGATGATGCTGCTGATGATGATGATGCTGATGATGATGATGAGGATGAGGATGAGGATGAGGATGAGGAGGAGGAGGAGGGGGAGGAGGAGGAGGAGGAGGAGGAGGAGGAGGAGGAGGAGGAAGATGAAGGAGAAGATCGGCCTCGGGGGGCGGAGTCTGCATCCCTCTATAGTTATCTCTGAGCCCCCTCCGTCGCCCGCTTGCGGCGGGCGCCTTCCCTCAGCTCATGGCAGCGCATGCCGAGCTTGAAACCGACCATGGCGTCGATAGATCGGCCTCCATATCTGAATTCACAGTCCTGCAAACCAGGCGGCCAGTTCATCCTTCATGATTTCCGCTGGCGCCTTGCCCTCCTTTACCACTGCACCAGCTTGAAATCCGCCCACGTCCTCGGTACAGAGGGTCGAACATGTAGAGATGGCCCTCTGGTGGCCCTAAAGCGTGTCCTCTCCCCACCTCCTTGGAATTGTCCGCGCAGACCTTCCTGCAGGTCTTGAGCGCTTTGAGCGAGCCGCTCTGGAAGATGCATCTTGAAGAAGTCGTCCACGTAAAAGTAGACTGAGGGGTCGCTCATGTTGTGAGTACTGGGGGAGACAGCGGCGAACGGCTCTGAGTCCTGCATGGTTTCGTCGAGCCATTGGCCGAAAGAAGTTGGTCCTGTGCTGCATCCAGGCATCACTCCAGATCCCATCATGAAATCTCCAGACTTGTCGAATCCGTCGACCTAGGCAGTGGCGCATTTGTATATTTGAGCGAAGAGTTTCTGTTCCGTGCTTGCCAAGCACGTGGGTATTATGTGTACGGCCTTGTCGATCATGGTGCTTGCGAACGCGTTGGTGGTGTCCTTGCTGCATACGATGTAGTCGAGATTCGCTCGCTGGAGTCTGGGTGCGACGATACTCGAGGCAGCCATGGGAACTTCTCTCCTACGATGTGGCCAGCAGCCGTCAGCATGCGGAGGTGGAGAGACTGGCAGTGCAGTTGACGGTACACGCATCGTCAAAACGGGCTGTGCGAGCGTGAAACTCTGGCTGTGATGAACATCCAGTGGAACAAAGCCGACCCTGGAGGTGTGATCTAGAATATCTTCAAAGCATTTGTCTGTCCATGGTGCCTCGATCAACTCCTCGTTGTACCTGGGGCCCAAGGTCTGCGGCTTCCTCTTTGCGATGGCCGTCGGCTGCAGGATGATCTGGAAAATCTCTGCTGGGAGCGACCGTTCAGGAACCAATGCCCGTTTTTAACACCTCAGGCGTTTCTTGACCCTGTAGAACAGCTTGCCTATGTTGTCCTTCGCGTCGTAGTATTGCGAAGGCCTTACGGCCAGCGCCGCCGACCTTGAAGAAGACGACCCTGACCACGACGAGGTAGAGGAATGAGGAGGAGGAGACGCATGAGGAGAGGGCGGAAAACGACGCCGAGGAGGTGGAGGAGGTGAAGAAAAAAAACGAGGAGGAGGAGCAGCAGGAGGGGGGTGGCGGTGATGGATGTGGAAGTGCATGGGGATGTGGAGGCCGACGTTGAAGGGAGGGGGGGGCTGAGCACCGGTGGAGCATTTGGACGGTCTTTGTGGTTTGTTAGACCCCGGGGGGTGGCATTCTGACCCGGGACCCCCCCCCGGGAACCCCCCTCCCCCCGGGACCCCCCCCCCGGGGACCCCCA